CAAGTGACTTAGATTGACTTGTTGTACAGTCTGACAGAGGTGGGGATGAAGGCCCTGTGGTAGCGCTCCTTCTTCCACTGAAGGAGCTCCACAGCTGCTCTACAGTCCTGTGCAGTGGGAGGTGTTGTCCATGATGGAGGTGAATTTGACTAGTACTGTACCTCCTGTCCCTCACCTCCTCCACAGAGTCCAGGGGCCTCCTGTCCCTCACCTCCTCCACAGAGTCCAGGGGCCTCCTGTCCCTCACCTCCTCCAGAGTCCAGGGGCTTCATGTCCCTCACCTCCACCACAGAGACTAGGGGGCAGCCCAGAGTGGAGCTGGCCCTCCTGACCAGCTTGTTCAGTCTACTCCTGTCCCGCTCTGTGCTGGCCGGGGCCCAGCACACGGCAGCGTAGTATATGGCAGAGGCTAAAGCCTAGCGTACATCGACAGAGAAACTGGGGACAACTAGTTGCAAGGTGGCTTTTGGCAACTGAGAGGAGATGGTGGGAGATGATCAGTTGCCGAAATCGGTCGATGTGCGCGCTCTTACAACTGGAGATGATCAGTCGGTCTCCAGTTCCAGTCAGTTGCCCGTGTTCTACTTTTCGGCAACTAGTTGTCCTCAGTTGCTCCGATGTGCGCGCTCCATGCGCCGCTCCGACAACGTGTGTGTATTGCGTGTATTGCGAGCCCGCAACAGTTTATGTCAGAAAACACACTGTAGTTGAGGCCAGTTGCTGTCGATGTACGCGCTGTTATTCAAGAGACTGGCCTGCGACTCAGAGTTGCCCGTTTTCGCCAGATTGTCGATGTGTGCGGGGCAGCAACTCAGAGGCGACGGATATAATCAGTTGCCAGTCCGATGTACGCTAGGCTTAAGAGTTTATTCTGTTGGAAAGTATATTTGGCCCTTGATGCATCTTATGATCAGCTCAGACCTCTCTTGTCTCAGTATACATACAGACTCACCCCTCTTGTCTCAGTATACATACAGACTCAGACCTCTTTTGTCTCAGTATACATACAGACTCACCCCTCTTGTCTCAGTATACATACAGACTCAGACCTCTTTTGTCTCAGTATACATACAGACTCAGACCTATCTTGTCTCAGTATACATACAGACTCACCCCTCTCTTGTCTCAGTATACATACAGACTCACCCCTCTCTTGTCTCAGTATACATACAGACTCACCGATATGTATGTATACTCACCGCAGAAAAAACCTCACGTTAAAGGCCCTGTAGGCTTTGCTATGGCCGCAGATCAAGTTAGCGATCAGCAGCTTCTTTCATTTGAGCAAAAATGCCTGTTCAACACTCTTTATGCCTCAGTCCTTGTTCTACGGCCTGACTCCTGGAGGTCAGTGATGATTCACGACATCTACGGACTTTATAAACCTTTCTGAACAGTGGTCATCCTGCTCCCTGTGGACCAATGGCTGTGTTCATTGATGTTCATTGGTGTTCAATGTGCCATTCACACACCATATTCCCATAAATCTCTGTGTCTTACTTGTGTGGCAGAATCAGTTCAAGAATGGTGAGAAACTAGGATTGCTGCCATAGAGATTGGTTTAAAGATCCAGTAAAGGTGTGGCTCCTGTCAATGAACTACTTAAATAAAAGAAACTCGTTCTCTAAAGCCACATGTAACTGGTTTTATCGCTCGGCACGAGTTAACTTTCAATGTAGTCAAACGGAGCCAGAGCGAGTGGGAGCAAAACTTCCTTCATGAGCACTTCCCTATCAGGCTTCATTGAGCTAGAGGGTTGTCCATCTATAATAGAGTCTATGTCAGAAACCCATGAAAGGAGCTGGTGTTGAACCACAGGGCGGACAGTGAGGTTTCCACTGAATGAGGCCCAGTTATGTCTGTTCTCTGCTTTTATTTAACACTAGGACTCTCAGAATTCAGAATCTAAGAAATCCCAGAGCAGTCATTGTGACGGCTTCCATTAAAATCAATAGAATTCTGAAACAAATCCCAAAAAAGCAATGTTAGTTTTTTATGTTAGTTAGTTTCTTATCTTCTTTTAACTTGAATACATGCTAAAACTGGTGGATACAACTGAAATACAGCATCCACATTACGCCAGAAGGTGGCGCCGTGGCGAGGAATACGGATGGAAAGTAGCATGACGCTAAATCTGGTGTCTTTTAATTAATTTAATTAATTTATCCCTTAATTGAACCATAATTGCCCATTTTTCATTGGAAATATAGATGCTAGATTAATCAATTACCAATATAACCATTACTGCACGAGTCAGTCTAAAGTTCAACACATCTTTTGATATGATAAAGATATAGACATCAAATTCATAGACTTAATCTTCATTTATAATTAGCAATATACTATGCATGAATCACTAAATCAACGGCCTCTGTCTAATTGCACTTGAAATGAGCTGGCTGCTTGACGGCTTTTTGTTTGACTCTCCAGATCCCTGCTTGAGTCTCTAAATCTCGGCTTGGTGCCAGCTTGTGCCTGCCTCATTGTCCTTCCTATAAGAACACCATTTGCCCAGTCATTCTCTATACGGCCATGTGCCACCGTTGTCTTAGTTTCCATGGTGACGCTTTCCTTCAGCACGAGCATGTGGATGGCAGAGGTGTAGTAACACTGTAGCAGAGGAAGTTGTACACCAGCCTCATTTGCATATTTAAACATGGACTATGGACCACAGCGTGCAGTGTTTATTCACCAAACATTTCCAAGTGATGGATTTGACCCATTTAATTGTGTAATTCATAAATACATACTCTTTTTAATGGTTTAAGTCCGTCAATAGTGATATGGTATTCTAGTCAACTGTACTTTATATGAATGCTGTAAAGAGAAAGCGTGTCTGTGGCCAGCCTGTCATTCCCTGCTTTGTCCACTAGATGCCACTGTTCTATGACTTTGACTACATCTGCCAGTCTTCACTTTATTCAAGAGGAGACACCGAGCTGTCAGAGGAAGTTGGGATTCTGACCTTGAGGGAGCTCTTAACACAGCGTTAGAATACCCAAACAATGTTTATGTAAATCAATGTTACAGGTGTCCTAGAAACAAGGACAAAAGACAAGTGGAGAAAAGTAGTCACATGAATATGTGTTTTTAAAAGCAATTTGCACCTGCTTGTTTGCCTCCTGCACATGAAATAATAAACTGCAGGTTTTCAATGAAGCAACACATGTTATGAATCTGGAATGCTTAATGAGGGTAACGTTGGACATCTTCCGTTCAAATTAAATGGCTTATGCTTAAGGGACGTATATGATTTAAACGTTGTGTTATGTTTATGTTTTGTTGCCATTTGAAAAAATGTGGGTGAAAGATGTTACTTGTAGGCAACAGATGACATGTGTGAAGTTTCTTGGACGGGGAGAAGACTTGAGGCACATCCAGAAATCATGTGAACAGATCTCAGTTCATTATGTCGAGAATGCATGAAGAATCCTTCTGGGGTGGGCCATGGCTCGTAATGTAATCTCTAGTATTGTGTATAATCATCTGTGGACCAGATAACGGATGACACACTGCCAGATTGTGTTCATTTGTATTATGGTGGCTCTTGATGAAAATGGAATTGTGGGCGATTCCAGCCTGACCACAATCACAGAGGACACTGCAGTCCTATTAGTTTTCAGAGTAATCACATAATTGGACTCTCAAACACTTGGGGAATGAATGAATTTCATTCACTCTCATCAGCTTAAATCAATCTGTATCAGGCTTAACTGAACACCATTAGCTGAACAATCTAAAGCACAGGAAACGCATCTCAAACTCCCCGCACTAAAGTATATTTCATCTGGCAAGACTCACGGAGGGAAAGGGCTCCCTTGCTTCACTCTGGACAAGACATCACTAATGTGTTTACACAGCAGCAGTATGGATCGTTTTGTGTAGTAACGTGGTCCCTATAGCTCTCCCTCCTCAGCACCAGTGGTTTGGATGAACATGGGGCTGCATGCTGTTGGTGAGACTGATGCTGCGAGCGCTGCACCAGGCAAGTCTTTGTCTGCGCTGGGCTCCAGCTGGCTCCCACTGTGTGTTTGCATGCACAAGTCAGTGGGTCCCTCAGCACTCGGTGCAGGAGGCGAGCTGTGTGATTGATTGGGATGTACACCACCACAGCCCCCGTTACCACCCTCCCCTCCTCCCCCGCCCGCTCCTTATCTTTACTCCTGCTTAGGGGCGCATGAGCCTTTTCTGTTCTCCATTTTTAAGTCAGGCACTCATACGAATGCATGGAATAATTTCATAGAAAAGGGGATGAGATGGTAAAAAGTATGTCTTTTGACCAAATGGCCAGGGAGCTGGGAAATCTGAAGATGCCATCATAGAATAGACCTAATTGGTTCTGAATTGGTTATTCAATTAATATAATTCCAGTCTGTAGTGTCAATGTTGACTTAATTGTAAGCACAGCTCTTTTCCCACATCTTTATCTTTGCCCCAAAAAATCTTCACACTTCACTGACAAAGGATGGACGGGCACCCTGTCAGACAGTGAAAGGGCGCCTGAGGTAACGCGCTTTAAGGCTCATTTGTAAGTGCATGTCATTGTCCAAGTCCATCTTGATAAAACGAGCGATAAGGACGAATCCCGAGTGCGTCCTCTCAAGGAGACGGCAATAAGCAGTCAGAGAGGTAAGAGAGGGGTGTGTTAAACAGTGACTGCTTTTCAGGACCCCAGCGACGAGCAGCCAGCCAGTGTCTGGTGAATGTGCGCGTGTGTGCGTGTGCGTGTGCGGCTCAGCCAACACACACACACTTTACATTCGTCCACAACATGGCGTTGAAGCGCCGAGAGACACGACGGCTCTCCCCACATTAAAACTAGTGCTTTGTCAAGAAAAGAACAATCAAGTGGAAGAGAACAGCCGAGGACAGGAGCACCTCTCGGCACTGCTGCGTTAGGCTGCGGGGACAATAGTGGATCCAAAGTATGCAGCCCGCTGTAACGGTATAGCTGCTTGCATAGACGCCGCGTTGCCACTGCTGGAAATCAAAGGCTGTACATGGCGGTGGAGAGTAGTACTTATCTGCTCTGTCTGCTTTCACTCTTTTGTGGTCCATCCAGACAAGGTAAGGGCTACTTTACTTCTCTCGCTAGTCAGTGTTCACGGGACCGCATGCATAATCATTGTCTGAAGTGCAGTTCCCACATGGAGCAGGGCTGACACAGACACAGACACACTCATACTCACGCTCATAGTAACGCTTGAGTTTGCACCTTGCATGGTCCATGCAGAATGTGTTTCTTCTTCACCTCATGTGGCCTGGGCTGGTGCGCACTGGGCTTGGCCGGGCTCTAGGCTCTGCTTTGTCAGCACACAGCCCGGGCTTTGGGGCAGCAACTTTGCCAGGCTTGACATGCGTGCGTGGTGCGCATTGTGGACTACAGTCAAATGTTAGATTAAAACAAGTGCTTTTACTTAGAGAGATTGACTTTACAACTGGCCATGTGTGCAGTACACGGACATGTGTGTGAGTGTAGAGGCTGAAGAGTATGGTCATAGTATTACCATGACCAGTACATAATACGAATAGCAGAATATGTAAAAAATCCAAAGAGTTTGACTTGTGCTGATCAAAATAACAATTTCATTCATGGAACTTTATCAAATAACAACTTATGAGTTTGTGAAAAGTTACAGAAATAAATGTGCGTTTTGTGCTCATTCATGATAGTGACACTGATATTACTTGCTGTTGTTATTATTTTAACTGAATATTAACTCAATTCTAAATTATCTCAGCCATGAATCAAATGGCAAACAAATCAAGCATTGTTATAAGATAGTTATTAATAGTCAAAATTGAAGTGAGCCATATGATCTAAAACACGGAACAATACAAGGATTCACAAAATAGGTTTAGTTGGCTTATTTGTCATAGGTAACTCAGAGGTAACTGAAAAGGTAACAGTTATTAATCCGTGCGTTTATTTGAGAGCAAACTATTTCTCCATAACGAAACTGATTTAAAAAAAACATCTTTAAATCTTGTGGTTTAGATGTTGGCTGTTCTGTGTGTACTCATGTCATTGGTTTTGCTCAATGGAAGTAGACAGAATATTGGAGAGAGAGAGAGAGAGAGAAGGGGTCACTGCTGGGGCAAATAAAGTGCTTCTTAGAATACGATTTCTGGCAATGATATTTTTGGAGTATTCCTTTAGAGGATCAAGTAGGATTTTTTCAGGATTTCTTTTTTCATATGACTCTCTGTTGCATTATTTCCCCCAGCTTGTATGTCCTATTTGCAGCCTTGACTAATTATTGTCTATTATTACGGTAAATCTCTGCTTTATTAGCTCTTCCTTTATCGCTTGTACAGAGACAATTGTGACTAACTAATATTGTTTAGCTTGCTGCGTTGAAAAGGTCGTAGTTGTTCTCTTCGAGTGACCATGACATCAGTAAATACTCGGGTATGGTATGTTTCAGGACAATATAATACTCTTCGTGGCTTAAATGACTCTAGCTTTGATTGGTGAAACAGTGTGCTAATGATGCAGTGTAAAGCCTCTCAGCCAGATATCCACTTAAATATTTGATGACAGCATGAGCTCATGTGTCACTGCCAACAGATACCTATTTTTCTCCATCACATCGCACTGATTCCTGCCATACAGCGCTCTTGGAAGGGTATTAGCATTTTCTCAATATTCAAATTATTTATAAATACAATAATACAATGACAATACAGCCATAACAGTGAATGAATAACATCGTGTGAAGCATATTTGAGTCCAAAATGATAAATATTATTACTTAGTCTGGAGGAAGTTTGGAGGATTGGGAAATCAAGGCTTCTCTGTTCAGCAGTAAAATGTCTGGATGGAAAATAATGGATGGGTAGTAATAAACTAAACATAATAATGATGGACTTCTCCAGATTGTTTTTGTAAATACAATTTTGGTAAAACTGAGATACATGTGTTGGAAGCTTTCTTCCTAAAGAGCAAGTTCCTTCACCCTTACGCACCCGTCGCCCAGTCAGTAGTGAAGAGATCTAAGATTTGCTCATATTGCCATAATCAGACAATTAGATTATTGATATAAAAGTGTGCTGCCTCAGTCAAACTGTGCTCAAGCCTTACTGCATCAAGCTTCATAATGTGTCTTGACACTCACCTCAAACCAAAGTTTCACAATCTAAAGGTCCTAAACATGATGTTCTTTTATGGAACATCCCCTTTTAATTGACTCATGGTGTCTTGTTGGAAATGCTTGAATGCTGCCTGTGTTGCGCGCAGACTCCTGTACTGCAGGTGTCCGCTCCTCTCCTGGGCCACTTTATGAACTTAACTGTCATTTTTTATGTTTTAAAGTGCTCTGCCTGAGGTGTACTGTGTTAGTTTATGTGTGTGTACTAGAAGGACCAGCTGTCCAGCCTCCATGTGATACCATCTACAGAATATTAATGCCTGTCTGTACCCTTCTTATGCTTTGGATCACATCTGTGTGCTAAACATAGTATATACGTTAAGAGGAATATTTTTGGCCACATTGCCATCTTTGAAATAGCAAATGTGTATGTTAGCCTCATAAAGGTAAACTTTGCATGTTTGTGTAAGCCTATAGTGTGACTGCTTTCTCTGGATACATAACATGGGATCTTGTATTGAATAACTCAGAGCACATTAGCTGTAAATTAAAGTAAATCAAATTAGTTGACACCAGAGTGTGGACGAGTAGGTGTGGGTGCAATGATTTCCGTGACCAAATTGATGATTTATATACAGAATTGGGCTAGCCACTCAGAAGATGCACATATCCATTGTATAAACCTAATTAAGCTATAAAGCTATAATTACATTTTATACGTATTCTTCAACCTTTAGCCATTTTTTAGAAAATTAACAGCAGTTTTGTGTCATAATAAATGGTTTCAATTGTATAGGCATATAATTGTTCCTCATAAAAGGCTATGGAAATGCATTCCAAGAGAAATGTTTTGGACAAAACATTGTCAATGTCAATTTTATTTGTTTGTTTTATTACAACAACACCAGCTGTCTAAAGTGCTTCGCATGCACAAACAAAAAAAGAAAAACAGCATGAAATACACACAAATACATGTAAAACCGATAGGACCAACTTAGTTGGTGTGAAAAGCCAAGCGCAAATGTGTCTAAAGGCTGGATTTAAAAACGTCCAATGAAGGAGCTTTCTAATGTACAGAGGTCAACTATTCTACAGTTTTGAAGCAGCAACCATGCTCCATGAGTTTTGAGACGGACCCATGTACATGCAACAAAAGCTGGTTGTCGTTAAATCACTGATTTGACAGGAACATACAGAAGTAACAGTTCTGTCAGATATACAGGGTCTAATCCATTTTTAACATTTTAAAACAACCATCAGAATCATAAAATCAATAAACCCTGAATGTGACTGGAAGCCAGTGAACGGGGGTAATGTGCTCCCTCTTATGTGTTATAATGAGCAAGCAGCAGGACCTTCTGAAGGTTTAACTGAGCTTAGGTGTAGATCACATACACTGTTCTGATTCTACTGCCTGCTTGTCTGATGCCCTAAACTTCTCAGCTGCTCTCTGACTTGTACAGATGTGTACAGATAATTGAGCTGAAGGCTGTGAATACAGACCACCACTTTCTCTTTCCAAAAGATCTACTTATGAAAAGGGGACCTCATAAGCAAGCACTCATAAGCAAGTATCATAAGCTGGTACTCCCAGACTGTGTGCTTTCCCGGAGGCCTCTCTTCTCCAGAGCCTTCATCCATGCTTCTGTTTGATTGAGCATTTCTTTCATGGTGCAGCCAGTCACATTGCCAATTTTGTAGTGACATTTCCAGGGGTGATCCACATTTTGAAGCAGCCAAAGTGGTTGAGACGCCATGCCTTCTGGGACATGCTAAGTCTTTAATGTGGCATCAACAAGCTTACATGGAACTGAGTCAAACAATTGGTGAAATTCAGTTATGAACCTTTAAAATGTCAGCATGAAGTCATCTTATGAATAATTGATACTTTGAGAAACACTGCCCCAACAACCCTTTCAAGTGCAAAATACAGTATATAAATATTATCACTACACTGAAATATAAACATAACTTGCGTGACTGAAGATTGTAACCATGAGATGAATAGAGCTTGCCCTTCATATAAGGACATGTACCCCACAGTGTCACATAACTATCTCCTCTCTCATACTGCCCTTGTAACTGATGTATGACCCTGATACCTGAACATGTGGAGTGCTAAGAAAAAACATGTCAAATTAACTTTATTTGTTCCTCGCGGTCTACTTGTCTACTTGTTGATATGAATACTATGAAAACACATTGTCAACAACATTATTTTCCGTCTTGATTAAGTCCAGTTGGTTCCATGGGGATATTATTGTAGTTTAGTAGAGTCATGTAAGCGTTTGTGCTGGCATCTGACATGGCAGTGGAGGCCCCATGCTGTGGACTCTCTGAATACGCTGATCTGTGATTGGCTGAGCGTGGCCTGGGATGAATGAGCACTGTGCATACAGCAGGAGGTATTTGGGCATGCACTGGTACGCCCCCACTGGCCCGCACTTTGTGTTCTGCATTTATTCACTCCAGTAAACTTTGAGTGGGGCCCCTGGGCCGAGCCAGGACCACTACTGACCTGTGTTTACAGCAGACTCAGCCGTATCTCTGACTGAGAGGAGATTGCTACTGCATGAATCACAGAGTTAAAACCAGCTTTCTCACCAGGACTTTTTCACAGCAGACTGAAATTCAATTATTGTAGGAAGTATCAGTAATAGTTACTTTTCATCCAAAGTCTAGGTCCGGTCTGTTTGCATTTGTATGTGAGAAGAGTGTTGTGTCTTGGGAAACACACAGCTGGAGCTGCACACCTGACACAGCAGCTGCTCATGTCGAGAGTGACTCATAGACTTCTACTGTGAGCTCATGATGTGGAGACCCACGTAAACACTGCTTTATATGTCTGATCACAACATGTCAACTGAGAAACATCACTTTGTATCCGCGTGAAAAAAGTAAAAAAATAAATTTAAAAAAGTCCTCACTTTTATACATGTTGTGCTCAAACTTTTTATGACCATTTCATTGACAAAA